GGTCATAAGTGTGAAAAGTGGTCATAAGTCGCATTTTTCAATGCTGTTGTAACTTCAAATGGTCACTAAATGAATTGTTGTAAGACGAGGACTGCCTGTATATGACGGCAACAGCTTCCGACTTGTGTCTGAATCCAACCAACATTATTAAACATTACTTGTAATCTCTAAATGCCTTAGAATTTAAAACCTAAACATGGCCTTCTTCAATACATGTTGTCCTCAACTTACAACCGGTCACTTAGTGTTGCGACCTACCAAGAAAAAGGAAGTTATGATTCGATTCCAAAGTTCTTGATAGTTGCCCCCCCCCAGAAGTGTTCAGCCACAGGCCCTCATTTACAGCCCTTTGTAGTGTCCCTGGATCACATGCATTTTATGACAGTTTTACTGAAAAACCAGCAAAACTGCGGCATGGCAAATAATGGATTCGTTTAATGACCACCTCATTCATTTAATGACTGCCACATTGATTTTACAACTGCTGCGTTAACAACTACCACAAGAAAGGTTATAAAATCAGGTTGATCGTGTGACCAACTTGATTTATTACCATTGCAACATATGACAGTAATGGACAAGCTCCATTACAGTTGTATTGCCAAGGATTACCTATACAAAGCTATATAGAAAAGTTGGTTAGACTGGTTTGTTTTGCCCTCTAGACACGGAGGTATTTTTGACTAGGAGGTGGGTCTTCATAGCAGTTGGACCTAATTGCCATCTCAGGAGCAACTGGTCTTAACTGGCTCTTTGTTGCCTTGTGAAATCCTTTTTATTTCGGGAGGTGTTTAACCTGCTGAGTTGCTGTTTTCATGATGTTATCATGCTATTTAAATTAATTGTCATCTGCTGTTTCTCCATTTTCCAAATTGTACTGCACCCATTGCTAGGTAATGAATTGCTTTATTGACTTTGTATAAGCCACCTTGAAGGTCTCCAGTAGCAGAGTACAAATCATTCTAATAAATACGTAATGGTATTTGTAGAAACCCCCTGCTGGTCTCTAAGGCAGGTCCAGTGCCCCACAAATAGTATTTAATCCTACTCAGAATCATTCATTTTTGGGGTGATGTGTGGATATAGAAGACAGCTCATCCTCCTAGGAATGTCATTCCAGGTCTTCCCTGTTCTGTCCTATCCTGTCCAGTTCACAAAGTCACTTTATACACGTCTCTTCCTACAGTTTGAAAAATATGTTTCTTATCCAGGGAAACATGGAAAAGAAACAACACTGCTATAATTCTCAAACTGCTGGGACAGTGCATAATGTGTTACTGATTTGACAGCGTCAGTCTAAGTTATATTTGAAGTTGGAAATATTTGTTGTGTCTAGTTTTTAAATTTTTCATTTTCTAAGGACTATTTTTCAAACAACTGATTCTTTAAAGCTTCTGTGCACATCACAGACTAAGTCATTTGTTATTCCAGAGCCTCTGATTATCTTAAACAGCAGCTTTAAAATAAGAACTTTAAAACTGTAGGATAGACAGTAGAGAAGGCATCAAATCATATAGATAATATGTGTGCACTGACATAATCACATAGATGCTGCAATAACATATGCAAACTTTATAATTTGTACCCCTCTCTAGTTTTCATTTGCAAGCACCTATGGTGGTGGGGTGTTCAACGTTCCAATCACCCTTCTGATGCTTATTTACAAATAATGTGTTCCTTTTAAGTTATTAAAATTATATAAAAGTCTTCACTGAGGGCTTAAGGAAAATTACCCATGAAAGAGACAGAGAGAGACAGACCGGGGGGGGGGGGGAGGAAAGAGGGAGGGAGAGAGATTTATATTTTAGAACAAATCTTCAGTGTTAAGCTATTATGTAGCATACACCACATTTTAAAAGTTCCTCAAATTTTTGACAAAAATTTGATTAGTCCAGTGGTGGCGAACCTATGGCATGCGTGCCAAAGGTGGCACTGGGAGCCCTCTCTGTGGGCACGTGCGCTGTCGCTCCAGCCCCGCCTCCCCCCACAGTGCCCTCACCAGCAGCCCCCCCAGAGGAGAGTTGCCCCCAGGCACGGCCCATGCAGAGCAGCGCAGCCAAGGACATGGCATCCGGACAGCGGGGACAAGACTCTGCCCTCATGCCCCGTTGCACGCAGTTGATGCTGCGAGGCATGGACAGAGGGTGTGGCTGCCATGGCACTGCTGGGCCCCTGGGCGATCTGCTGTGGGCCAGTGAGGCAGTGGGTGGCCCTGCGGGCAGGCGGGGCAGGGCAGAGTGTGGGAGGAGCAGGGGGTGGGGATGGGCCAGGGGGGCGGAGCAGGGATGGGCCAGGGGGCGATGCAGTTTTTGGGCACTTGGTCTCTAAAAGGTTCACCATCACTGGATTAGTCTATCTCTCTCAGCTCAACCAGCCTTATAGGCCTGTTGTTAGGAAAAATAGGAGAATGAATGAATGCTACCTTGCTTTGCTGAATTAAAAGTTAAAAAGAAAAATATTCTGAGTTTGATTATATTTATTTAGATTAACAGAATTGGAAGATACCTTTGAGTTCTTCCAGTCCAACCCATTGCTCAAGCAGGAAACCTTATACCAGAGGTCCCCAACCTTTTGGGCACCAGGGACCGCTTCCGTGGAGAAAGGTTTTTCCATGGACCGGAAAGTGCATGGTTTTGTGTGCTGCCTGCATCCCACGGATGGGGCTTTGCTTGTTTGTGTGGACCGATTGCTGGCATGCTGTAGCCCAGTATTGGTCCACGGACTGGGGGTTGGGAACCCCTGCCCTATACCATTTCAGACAAATTGTTGTTTAATCTCTTTTAAAAACCTGCAGTGTTGGAGCACCCACAACTTCTGGAGGAAGTCATTCCACTGATTAATTGTTCCAACTGTTAGGAAATTTCTCCTTACTTCTAGGTTGGTTCTTTCCTTGTTTAATTTCCATCTGTTGCTTTTTGTCCTGCCTTCAGAAGCTTTGGAGAATAGGTTGACCCCCCCCCCCTTCTTCAGCTCCTCAGATACTGGACTACTGCTATCATATCATCCCTATTTCTTCTTTTCATTAGACATGCTTAATTCCTACAACTGTTCTTGTTTTAGCTTCCAGTCCCCTAATCATCTTTGTTGGTCTTCTCTACACTCTTTCTAGAGTCTCAGCATCTTTTTTACATCATGGTGACCAAAACTGGATGCAATATTCCAAGTGTGGTTTTACCAAAGCACTAAAAATAGTATTAACCCTTTACGTAGTCTTGATTTTATCCCTGTCTTAATGCAGCCTAGGACTGAATTGGCTTTTCTGCCAGCTGCAGCACACTGCTAGCTCATATTTAAGTGATTGACTGCTAAGTCTCCAAGATCCCTCTCGCAGTTACTACTATTGAGCCAAGTACTGCCTATTCTACACCAGAACAGTCTCATCAACTGAACAGAACAGAGGATTGCAGCCCAGAATAATTAAATATTTCAGGCACTGACTCCAAACTTTTGGGAGTTTACAGTATACCTGGAAGTGTCTTGGGCACTGTCCCATTTGTGGAAGCCATTAAAGTTTCCATTCACAAACTATCACTCAACAATGTTGCAGAAAAACAAATTGACCAGTAAAGTAGCTTATTTAGAAATCTGAATACAATGAAGAAATTGGATCCAACTTCCAGAACATTTCTTTGATTCTAGAACTTTTACTCTACAGAAGCCTATTTCATAAACTGTGTTCATATGGTACATTGAAACCAAAATGAATGGCCACATTATAGGCAAGAGCATTGTGCCAACCCAATCTTTCAGAATGGTACGGATGCTCAGAAAAGCAAGTTAATTATAGGCAAATCTATAATACGAACTGTTGGTAATTATAATCAGGATCTTGTATATGTGACAGATAACTCTATGAACACTTCAAAACAAGATGTTTCTCCAAATGCCTATTTTGTATGTCCTGTGTTTCTGAGTACATATGGAATCCAAATATATATTCTGGGAATAAAGATAGCCGTATTTCATGCGGAAGCACTTTTGATCATCTAGGGAAAAAGCTTCCCAGGTATAAACCAATTGAAGAGAGCCAGTTTGATGTAACTATGAAGACATGAGGCTAGAAACTAGAAGATTGTGACTTCTAGCCCTGCTTTAGGCACAAAGCCAGCTGAGTGACTTTGGGCCAGTCATTCGCTCTCAACTCTAGAAAGGAGGCAATGATGAACCACTTTGGAAAAACCTTTCCAAGAAAACTACAGGGACTTGTTCAGGCAGTTGCCAGGAGTCAAAATTGATTCAAAGGCACCAAAAATAAATTAATAAACTAGCCCATGGGCACAGGGGGCAGATATTCTCAGGCACCAGATTGCTTGCACTCGGAACCTAATATATTGAATTTTTTTGGGTAAGACTAAAACGGGTCTTCAAATTTGGCCCTTTTATGACTTGTGGACTTCAACTCCCAGAATTCCTCAGCAAGGCACACTGGCTGAGGAATTCTGGGAGTTGAAGTCCACAAGTCATAACAGAGCCAAGTTTGAAGACCCCTGGACTAAAAACTCAAAGACATTTACGTCCATATTGAAATTAAAGAAAACAAAGCATCTGGAACCACATCATTTAATTTGTGGTGTGGATGGGTGCTTGATTTTTCAATTCCTTTATTTTTAATATTTGTGTACAAAAATTCCCCCACCATTCCAGAACACCATTAATACCCACCTTCCTATAAGCCTGTTTAAAGGAAAACCCCATGGAAGATGGGGCAGGTACAAGATAGGCCTGAGCCACTGCCTCAGGAATTCTGGGAGTTGAAGTCCACAAGTCATAAAAGAGCCAAGGTTGCCTACCCCTGAGCTAGGCCAATGACCCAAAACTTAAGTATCCAGAATAAACCAAGCATTGGATCCAACCGCCTGGCTCTAACTCAGCAGAGGAAGGAATAAGGCGAGCGCCTCTTTTGCGGCCCAGGTGAACTGGGAGGCCTCCCTCGAGCTGCCCAGGGGAAGGAACATTTTTTTTTGGGAGCCGAGAGGCTACGCACATGCGTCTTACCGGGCTAAGTAGGGCGGAGGATGTGCTGATGAGGGGGGAATCCAAGGCGAGGTGGCGTGATGTCGTCATGACGCTTCACGCAACTCCCCCATTCCGTCTGACGCACGCCCTGTTCGAGCCCGTGAGTTTTCCGTTATGGTTATTATTATTTTCGACGGGGGAGGGGGAGGGGGACAGGGAGAAGGGGGGTGGGGGAGACCCAGAGAGAGGGAACGTCGCGCGGTAGCCAGGACCGAAAAGAGGTTGGAATGGAATGCGCGCGCGAAAGGGAGGAGGCAGAGCGGGGAGGGGGGGGTCTTTACTCCATCCTGTCGCATCAGAGAACATGGCGGCTGCCCCTGGTGCGGCAAAGGGGCTCGACCAGGCCGGGTTTCGGCCGCTGGAGGTAAGTAGCCGAGCCCGAGGGGAAACGGCGACTGGGAGGGGTGGCTTGGGAACTAGGCCGGTCCATTTAGACTTCGGGGTGGGGAAATGCGAGGGAGCCACCAGCCCCGTTCTCCCTCCTCCAAATCCGTTGCGGGTCCGACTGGGCCGGGCACAAAGAGCTGCTGCGCTGAGGAGGGTTTTGTTCGGTCACATGAAACGGCGTTAGCCAGTGAACGCGGAGTTGGGAGACGCCGCTGGCCCCCCGAAAAGGAACCTCGGCTGGAGGCGAGAGGGAAGCCCCGAGCCGGAATGACTTGGGCGACCCGAGGAAGGCCGCAGAGGGAATGAGGTCACCCTGGCAGCGCCGGGGGGGGGGGGATCATCGTTCCTGTAAAGCAGGGTAGTGGAGTGTGGAAGAAGGCCGGGCCGTCGTTTGGCCTCCAGCTCCTCTTCCACTGAGAGGCGGCCTGATCTCTTTTGATATTATTTTATCATTATTATTAGCATTAAACCTGAGTCAGCGTACCCAAGTTTTGAACCTGAGGCGTAGATTTCACAGCCATGCTTTTAAAACTCTCCATATTGTTGTCGGACTTTTAGACCCTCTGTACATTTCTTAGTACACAGTGGCCATTCTGGCTGCCATGGTGCCCACTAGCCAATTTAAGGAGCTCAGGTGATCCTGAAATTTATCTTAAGTTATTCGACAGAAAGTATGGAATGTGCTTTCTCTCCTCTAGTTTCCAAACTTTCTATTGCACCCAATGTTCTTCACTAAGACCCAGGCAAGGTGTGTATGCTTTTGGCTTGTTTTGCCCTTTCAAAAGCATGGTACTGTAGTAAATTTATTTTAATGCATGGAAAAACTAAATAATACATATAATCTGACGTAGGAGTAAGTAATACAGGATAGATTTGTACTTTTCAAATTGTCAAAGAAGACATGTCAATTTGCTGGGTACTAACATACTGACACACACTTGTTGCCTTCTAAGTTTTGATATTTTATTTATATTTCATTTTTTTCCTTTATGGTATAATTGGTGAGGTAACTTACAGTATAGAGATTCACACAAATGTTTAAACTTCGATGGGTACACTAATGTTTGAAATTCTTTACTGCATATTTCTTCTTGATAGATGAATGATTCAGGATGTGAAAATATTGGGCAGAAGAATTCTGCTGCTATAGCATAGGTAAGATTTCAACAGACCATAGTTTTATATATTGCCTGATATGAAAATAGTAACCGAAACTAAATATTCTCAACAGAGCAAATACTAAATAAATTAATTTGATTTTTAGGAAATTGTGAGTTGTAACAATTTTTAAACCAATAGACACAGTAGTAATGGCTCTAAAAAGTTTGGATTTAGGAGTTAAGTTTATTCTGGTTTTTTTGTGGATCTGAGAGCATTTTGGGACAGCTATCTTCAAATATTTATAATATGAACTAGAGAAGGAACAACCAAACCTAGGGCAAAGAGATGTAATGGCTCATTTGTGGATTATACTACTTTGCAAATGGATGTTTTAGAATATTATTGTGATTTCTTGTTGTAAAAATATTTTAAAAGAAGAGAGAAGAAAATAGAATATAGATATTATACAGAAAATTTTGCAGAGTAGTATAAGATAAACTATTCCATTGGGGAAAAACACATTAATTCTTATATATCACCTCAGATTGAAATCAATATAATGATAGTTTTACAACAGTTTAATATTTTAGCACTTTCAAAACTGTTATATTTAACTGTTATTAAAGTCAAATTTTAGATTAACTGAGAAATCTATATAATAAAAATCATGGGTAAAACATCAAGAACTCTTATTTTTAAGAAGATTGAAATTTTGGTGGCAAGCAGTGTACAGATTTGTTCTCCGATAACAGTTTCCAGGTTAAACTTCTCATGGATGAGTATTCCCAGAGATTAAACTGTTATTTTTCTAATCAGAGAATTGCATATCATTTCCAGGAATATGCATATGTTATCCTGGTAGCAGCTATAGTATGCCAGTTGAGTGTATCTAATGATTTCCTTAGAATGGCTATGAAATTGTTGTCATTCCTTTTTATTTTTACCATTTTCTTGTGTCTGGAATCTTAAGTTCCTGTAAGCCCTGGATGCAGCATACAAAATATTTTCTAATAGTACAATACAGAGTATACATTATTATGCATTTAAAAGATTCATTTGAGCTTAACTGATAAAATTGATTTGAGCAGGCTCTATATCTGGATGTCAACTGAAATAAATGGGAGGTGTTCATGAGCAACATAGGTAGAGTATGTGACACGATAAAACATAGTTGGATTGCATGGTCGTTACTATAAACAGTTAAGCCAACCTGTATAGCTGGAGTTGTCTCCAGTTACATTTGTTTTCATGTAGCTCTCCAAAATATAATAGGAATCTGAAATTTGATCTGCCTCACTCAGTTACATTGTTTACTGGATGATTCTAAGGCTATCGTTCTCTCAGTTGACTCTCCCTTGGAGTTATGTGAGAATAAAATATTATCAAGCATTTATTTTGCCGCGGGCTTTTTCATGAAACAGCTATATGCATATGATATCCAACCGTCACGAACATATTTCCCATCACATGCATATTCTCTGCATATACTCTGTGTCTTGTCTTAGAGAGTCTCTCAGCTTCTTGAGGAAAAATTTCCTGGGAGAAATACAGAGGAACAATATGCCACTGTTGGCTTCAAATGATAAAGGGAGCATTCTGTTACTGTCAGTGCTGATTTTGACCCTGAAATGTAACTGAAGTAGTTCAAACATCATTATTTAGCAGATATTATATATCTTCCTGTATATAATAGTGCAGTAATCCATATTATAATTTGAAGAATGAAATAGGTTTTCAGAAGAAGGAAGATTTTTTTTAAGATTTATCATATTTAAAATATTTTATAATTTTAATATACTTATATCCCTAATATTATATAATCTTTGAAATACAAACACATGAGTCTCTGTTTTATTATCCTATGTGAATCACTTCAGCAGTGTTGAAATAAAGAAAAGGTACTGTGGAGGATGAGTGGGTATGTATTCAGCACTTGCTGGCAATTCCTTAAACCAAATGCATCTTTTCCTTGTGTAGTTGTAGAGGACAGACATGATCCTGGGAAAAGGTGTGGCTGCTTTGAAGAGTTTCTGACAGATTCTGTGTGAGTGGTCCTATATGTTTTAAAGTTGTTGTTTTTTTTAAATCTGAAGCACAGCAGAGCCCAAATGAAAAAAAAAATATTTTTCTTTACATTTAAGAAATGTGAATCAAATCTGAACATAAATTTTCAATTCATACAAAGTTCCTTTAAAAAAACAACCAAATCCTAGATTAATTATTTAGTGCAGACCTTCAGATTATTAGATCTGATCTTGATCAACAGATATCCTGTTCTGAGAATATCTTGTACTTTGCAAATACTTTTTTTCTCTGTTGATTAGTGTTATCTGTCTAAGTGGGAACAGGATGGATGTGAAAAGGTGCACATGAAATTCTTCATCTTCACAGGTTAAGGTTCAAACACTAAAGGGATAAGTGTAGAATATAAAACAATGCATTTCCATATAATCTCCAGAGAGACCTCTCTATCTAGTAGAGGATAGAGAGGAAGACCTATGAACCAAATACCCAATAATGTTTCCTAACTCAGAAAAAAAAGGAAGTGTCTGAATAGTTGTTACACTGTGTTTCTGTGCCTTTACTAATAACTTTATCATGTTGTATTTTACTTCCTGGAAAAACTGAAAATAAACACCTGTACAAGTCTTCAGAATGTAGCTTTGTTTAAAAACAAGGATAGAAAGCCAGTTTGCTGTGGTAGTTAAGTCATCAGACTATAAACTTGGAGACGGTGAGTTCTACTCTGCTTTGAGCACCAAAGTAGTTGGGCCAATCAACTTTCAGCTCTAGGAAGGAGACATTGACAAACATTTCTGAAACTTGGCAAGAAAACTGCAGGGATTTATCCAGGTGGTTGCCAGCAGTCAAGGTTGGCTCAAAAAAAAAGGATATGTTCTGCAGTTTGAATTCAGAACTTTGCTGTTCGCTAAAGTGTAAGAGATCATTTGTACAGTAGTTCAGACTTGGAAGTACCTGTACTTCAAGACTGGAAGGAAGAATGAGGGTTCAGTTGATTGTTACGGGCAAGTTATTGTCTGCAAGGTTGTGGTAAGCCAATAGTCAGAATATGTCTACCAAATGTGCATTCATGTTATCACAGCAGATTTATGAAAAAAATACAGCATTTGAAGTTGTCTGTCTACGAATTTCATTTGGTTCAGTAGTTGCCTGTACTATCCAGAAAAGCACTCTCAGAGATCGTAACAGGTTCTATGACCTGTTGTGTAAAGAGAAAATAACAATGGTGTGTGCACCTATGGAATTTATTTAATTATAGCTAAATGGTGCTAAAAACGTTCTAATAATAATGGTGAATAAATAATAGAGCACGCCATTAGTTTAAGTTTTAAATGTTTTGTTTTATGGTGTTTAGTTGTTTAATGAAAAAGTATACATATTTTTCAGGATCCAAGTCCAATTACAAATTGTTTTAAATACTTAGAATTTCTTGGTAATTAATATTCTTCCTGTAGAAGAAATAAAAGCTAAGGAAGTGGAAACTTGGTATCTAGATGCCAATGATTTTCCTATCCGGGAACCATAAGACAGTTTTTCATCCTTTTTCCATCACCAACTAATAGATTACATACATTTATATGTACATTTCTTCTCTGCTTTATGTGTACATATTTTTCTTTCATATAACTATAGTTGTGGATGTTTTTATTAGTATTATAGTTTTTATATATATATTGTAGTTGCATGCTGTAAACTACTAATCAACTGTAGCAATGATGTGTAACAGCTTTCTGAAACTGTAACAGTCTTTTTTAACTGTGAAACTGCACCTTAAACCACAACATGACTTACAAATATCTTCTTTAGCTTTTAAATAGAACAGCATTTTAAAAACAGGCTAAAATGAGAGTTGCATTCTGCTTAAAGAGGCATGTCAGCTCAAATAAAGGTATCTGCCATTGATCGTAACTTTATTCCTGAATTATCTTTGCTTATTTTTAAATGAGAGCAGTGTAATGGTTAAGGAAATATGTCAGGTTGCGTGGTTCAGTTTTAATAGATAGAGATATCCCAAAGGTGCTTTTTCAAAAGGCAGCTGGAGTTTACTTGTTTTTCCTTGAAGACATTTTACTTCTCATCCAAGAAACTTCTTCAGTTCTGACTAGTGGAAAATGGAAAGATTTATATGTCTTGAATTATATTCTTTGACCCCTCTTTCAAACCAGCAGCCCTCTCTGTCCAGAATGTGTACAGCAAAGTCCACATTTTGGACAGAGAGGACCACTGATTTGAAAAAGGGGTCAAAGAGGCCATCTACATTAAGATTGAAGAGCCCTCTCTCAACAGAGAGGAGGGGTACAATGCCACCCACCTCCTGTCTACAATACAGACATTTCAGCAGTCCCAAGAAGGTTCCACGCCCATTTGCACTACCCAGGTGACCTTCCAAGTGGCCTCAACAACTCTCAGAGTGCTAACAAGCAGATGACTGCAAGAAATATAAATCCTTCCATTCTCCACCATTCAGTCAGAAATGAAGAAGCTTCTTGGATGAGAGGTGAAACGTTTTCAAGGAAAAATAAAGTCCAGATGCCTTTTACAAAAGCACCTCTGGGACAATCATGACCTGGATAACTGAGAATCTCCATAAATAGATAGGGATATGTTTTTGATTCTTTAGTTCTCAAAAGACATTTATTCAAGAGGTATCAACTTGGAGACGACATCAGCAGCTATTGAATTTATGTTAAATATGTATGTGTGGCAGATCTGAAGTATTGCATTTTTCCATTGGTGGGATTTGACAATGGGCATGTCACTAAAATTGGTGTGTTAAACTTTGTGATGCTTGTTATGTATGTTTCTTTTTATTTTTCCTCCAAAAAAGAAAAATTACATATCCACACCTTGGTAGTTTTCTAAGAGTGATGCAGTCTCCTATGAATCCAGGTGTTTTAGTAATTTGTGGCTTTTAATGGATTGCGTTCCTCAGATTTAACCCAACATTGATACAGGCATCAGTGGTATATGTTTGCTGGATAAAAATCCAGGTTTTGTATCTGCTTTGGCTTCATGGTTTATAACTATGAAACAGAAACCTTAATTTTGTAGAAATGGAAACTCTCTGATGCTTGAATAATTTCACCTGGCTACTATTGTTTATGCTATTTTGGACATGAAGCGCACTGAATTCCATACTAGCTTCAGCAGCACCCAAAATTGTGCATGAAGGTGGAATTAGTATGATTGGTATTTTCTACTTATATTAAAACTAGGGTTTTATTTTGAACCAACTTCAATGTGAAACTTTATGAAATTCCTTTCCAAATGTAAAAGCTGTTGTCTAGACTGTAAAATGGATGGTTTGGGTCATTCTGGAAAGGGTTTGAGAAATGAGAAAATTTTACAAAGATTCACACTTGAAGTGATTTAGAACATAGTTTTTGAACTTTCTAATTAAAAATGACATGCAAGCATCATCTGATATAGATTGACAGAAAAAAATTTGGTTAATGTAAACTGCATATAGCTGGTCTAACACAATAATTTAATTTGTCTCTAATTCTCAGTAAGAATTAGAATAGAATTAGGAAGTTTGTGGACCACATATTTTACCCAGACTCTTGTTTTATGGCATCCAGAACACATTTAAATCATGTGACTGAAATCTTTTTTTTTTTACTTTTTGATGGTAAAAAAGGTGCAAAATATTTGCATAAACTCTGAAGCTTAATGCATAAAGTTTATCACCTCCAATCCTTTCAAAAGAAAAAAAAAACAAAATGGAAGAGCTGTCCCATGTTTTTGATAATATTTGCTCCACAACCTGTCTTCATTGACCAGAAATCTCCTTCTGCCCTGTACTGATTTCCCATGGCTCAGATTGATAGTAATTGGTATAATATATAGTAGACTAACTTAAAATGAGTATACAGAATCTTTGTGGTTATGCTGAATTTGAAATATTACTAGCTCTTCAGAGTAAATGGTATTACGATGACACTAAAATATAAAATTGAAGAGACCGAATGAGACTTTAGCTTACCAAACATGTTTTAGAAGTCAAAAATTTAAGTTTTACATTAAGGCCAATATCCTTATCAAGATATTGCTGTAAAGAAGTAAAATCTAAAGAAAGATGAAAGACTGTTTGGATTAGACACAAGAAAGACAGACACAAGAAAGACGCTAGCAGAAGTACTTGTGAAAATCAGAGTAGGCACCAATATAGTGAGATGGAAAGATGGCAGGAAAGATGGAGCAAAGTATTGCAAATAGTATTATGAAATTCATCCTACACAGTGGCTGAAATTCTGTAAGAAAACTTGACAAGGCTAGTTCCTGATAGGACATTTTTTGGTGAAACAGGAAAGTCTATACGTGCAAGTATTTCATAAGTTTTTAATTTGAAATGTATTGGATAGGGTACAAAGATTGAAAAACATAGTGACTTCTGATTGTTTTCAGTGCAATAGAATACAAAGAAAAAGTTACAACCTCTATTTTTTGCCTTACGTTTCTAAACATTTCAGGCCATCTCTTTAACCATACAACCATTCTAATCAACAAAATCTAAAATGAGAGTTTCATTGTTTTCAATTTTGAGCACAAACTAAATGTTTTCTTAGCTTTCTAATTTTTATATCTTTTTGTATTTTTATTTTACAATGAATTGTAATAAAAAAAATTTAAATGAAATGTATTTGGAGTGAGGTTATGGTATCTTACCAATATGTTTAATAATTAAGATGAAGCAAAATAAAGCATATCAAGATTTGTACTGGACTACCAGAAAGGTTGAATCAGTTTTAAAATATGAGTACATTGTGTTTTTTGCAATTATACAGTATGTATCTGAGATATAGATGGAGCTTTATTAGACAGAGTTCATTTTCAAAATATACAGTATAAGAAAATGGAATTGAGCAGAAGTTTATCATTGCCATCTTCAGGTTTAAAGGGAGAGTGCAGTAAGAAATATAGCCTAGTCAATGTTTGATGGAAAATGGAAATGACCATGCAGCATAACTGCTAAACTGGTAATATTGCTTGCAATTTTATTTCTGATAGAAATATGGAAAT